TGTTTTCAGCAAGCTGCCTCAGGCTAGTGCTGGGAAAAGGGGAGGGAGTGTGGGAGAGAAAAAGGAGGGATGGAGGGAGGAGTGGCACTTTAAAGTATTGGCCAACCAGAAAGAGACAGAGGCATTCTCTCTCTGCAGCTGGGAGAGGGAAGGAAATAAAATAAAGATCTAGAATCATGTCCTCCCGAGTGGCGCAGTGGTCTAAGGCACTGCATCGCAGTGCTAGCTGTGCCACTAGAGATCCTGGTTCGAATCCAGGGCACAATTGGCCCAGCGTTGTCCAGGGTAGGGGAGGGAATGGCCGGCAGGGATGTAGCTCAGTTGGATAGAGCGTGGCGTTTGCAACGCCAGGGTTGTGGGTTCGATTCCAGTATGAAAAATAAATAATAATGTATGTACTTACTAACTGTAAGTCGCTCTGGATAAGAGCGTCTGCTAAATGACGTAAATGTATAATGAGATCCCTCTCTCTTTATTCCATCCCCTCCTATGCTGTCTTTCTTTCCCATTCTATCTCCCTCCCTCTTCTTGTTTCGCTGTTTCCTTCCGTCCGTCCCTCTCTTTCTGTGCTCTGGGAACATGGAGAGAGGGAGCTAGCACGAGACAGGGAAGGAGGAATACAAGGAGAGATGTGGTCTTTCTCTTTGGAGAGAGGGAGCTAGCACGAGAGAGGGAAGGAGGAATACAAGGAGAGATGTGGTCTTTCTCTTTGGAGAGAGGGAGCTAGCACGAGAGAGGGAAGGAGGAATCAGGAGAGATGTGGTCTTTCTCTTTGGAGAGAGGGGCTAGCACGATAGAGGTAGGAGGATAGATTGGTCTTTCTCTTTGGAGAGAGGGAGCTAGCACGAGAGAGGGAAGGAGGAATACAAGGAGAGATGTGGTCTTTCTCTTTGGAGAGAGGGAGCTAGCACGAGAGAGGGAAGGAGGAATACAAGGAGAGATGTGGTCTTTCTCTTTGGAGAGAGGGAGCTAGCACGAGAGAGGGAAGGAGGAATACAAGGAGAGATGTGGTCTTTCTCTTTGTCTCACTCTTGGAACTGGAACCAGCTATTCTTAAAGAACACGAGGAATCCTTCCCCCTGCTCTTCCAGAACTCTAATGATCCTTCCCCCCTGCTCTTCCAGAACTCTAATGATCCTTCCCCCTGCTCTTCCAGAACTCTAATGATCCTTCCCCCTGCTCTTCCAGAACTCTAATGATCCTTCCCCCTGCTCTTCCAGAACTCTAATGATCCTTCCCCCTGCTCTTCCAGAACTCTAATGATCCTTCCCCCTACTCTAATGATTAGTGAATTCCTGTTAGTCTGATTCACTTCTGACTCACTCCTGACCTTGGACCTGACCTTGGATTCTTGAATGTTTGGGAGTAACTCTGGAAGTGTCTGGGTCTGATTGAGGGTGTGTGTGTGTTGGGATTGTTCTGAGGTGTGTTTAGGACTATTTCTATGGACTTTAAGTCTGCTGGACTTCCAGACATGGGATCTCTTACTGGAGAAGATAACATCCTGCTGTGTAACTGTGAGGAGGTAACACACACACGTGGTTGTCCTTGACTGGTGTCTGCCCCCTTCAGCAGTCTCTTCCCAGTTTCCACCTGGGTGAGTTGTCTTGGTTTCCATGTGCGTGTGAACACTTGTTTTTTAGCGTGAGGTATTAGATCAGTGTTCTGGTGACGTTAGAGGGTGATGGCTTAACTCTTTATCTGGCAGTGTTCTGGTGACGTTAGAGGGGATGGCTTAACTCTTTATCTGGCAGTGTTCTGGTGACGTTAGAGGGTGGCTTAACTCTTTATCTGGCAGTGTTCTGGTGACGTTAGAGGGAGGAGGGCTTAACTCTTTATCTGGCAGTGTTCTGGTGACGTTAGAGGGAGGATGGCTTAACTCTTTATCTGGCAGTGTTCTGGTGACGTTAAAGGGTGGCTTAACTCTTTATCTGGCAGTGTTCTGGTGACGTTAGAGGCTGGCTTAACTCTTTATCTGGCAGTGTTCTGGTGACGTTAGAGGGAGGATGGCTTAACTCTTTATCTGGCAGTGTTCTGGTGACGTTAGAGGTGGCTTAACTCTTTATCTGGCAGTGTTCTGGTGACGTTAGAGGGATGATGGCTTAACTCTTTATCTGGCAGTGTTCTGGTGACGTTAGAGGGAGGAGGGCTTAACTCTTTATCTGGCAGTGTTCTGGTGACGTTAGAGGGAGGAGGGCTTAACTCTTTATCTGGCAGTGTTCTGGTGACGTTAGAGAGTGGCTTAACTCTTTATCTGGCAGTGTTCTGGTGACGTTAGAGGGGCTTAACCTCTTTATCTGGCAGTGTTCTGGTGACGTTAGAGGGATATGGCTTAACTCTTTATCTGGCACTGACGTTGGGGAGGAGGGCTTACCTATTTACTCGGATACCAGGACGTGTATACGAGATGTGCGACCACTGGCAATGTCTTACGCTTTTCACATGAGGGTTCAAACAGACCCCATAGTCCCGTGCCAGACTCAAGTCCTGCCTAAGACTACCGACCCGTAGCACTAGTCTGTAACTGAATGCGAAGCTTGTCATGGCTCACATCAACCCATTATCCCAGGACCCCCAATTTGCATACCGCCCCACAATCCATGTGCAATTATATGCCTCCACATGCCCTTTCCACCTGGACAGGAACCCTCATGAGATGCATCATTGACACTCAGCATTCACACATAGGCCCTCAGTCATCACAAGCTAAGGTCTGGACTAAACACTCCCCTGCACTGATCCACTTCCTGAGGGCCCCCCCCGTGGTAAGGGTGCCACACTGATCCCTAACACGGGGGCCCATCAGGGGGTGCGTACAGTCCCATCCTGTACTCCCTGTTCACCCATGACTGCTGGCCAGGCACGACTCCAACACCATCATTAAGTTTGCTGACGATGAGACAGCCTTAGGGAGGAGGTCAGAGACCTGGCCATGTGGTGCCAGGATAACAACCTCTCCCCTCAACGTGACAAGACAAAGGAGAGATTGTGGACTATAGGAAAAAAAAAGAGGACTGAGCACGCCCCCATTCTCATCGACGGGGCTGTAGTGGAACAGGTTGAGAGGCTTCAAGTTCCTTGGTGTCCACATCACCAACGAACTATCATGGTCCAAACACACCAAGACAGTCGTGAAGAGGGCACGACAAAGCCTATTCCCCCTCAGGAGACTGAAAAGATTTGGCATGGGTCCTCAGATCCTCAAAAAATTCTACTGCTGCACCATCGAGAGCATCCTGACCGGTTGCATCACCGCCTGGTATGGCAACTGCTTGGCCTCCGACCGTAAGGCACTACAGAGGGTAGTGCGTACGGCCCAGTACATCACTGGGGCCAAGCTTCCTGCCATCCAGGACCTCTATACCAGGAGGTGTCAGAGGAAGGCCCTCAAAATTGTCAAAGACTCCAGCCACCCTAGTCAGACTGTTCTCTCTGCTACCGCACGGCAAGCGGTACCGGAGTGCCAAGTCTAGGTCCAAAAGACTTCTCAACAGCTTCTACCCCCAAGCCATAAGACTCCTAAACACCTAATCATGGCTACCCGGACTATTTGCACTGCCCCCCCCCCCCCCACCCCATCTTTTTACGCTGCTGCTACTCTGTTAATTATTTATGCATAGTCACTTTAACTCTACCCACATGTACATATTACTTCAACTACCTCAACTAGCCGGTGCCCCCGCACATTGACTCTGCACCGGTACCCCCCTGTATATATAGCCTCCCTACTGTTATTTTATTTTACTTCTGCTCTTTTTTCTCAACACTTTTTAGTTTTATTCTACTTTTTTATTAAAAATAAATGCACTGTTGGTTAAGGGCTGTAAGTAAGCATTTCACTGTAATGTCTGCACCTGTTGTATTCGGCGCATGTGGCCAATAAAATTTGATTTGATTTATCTGTCTGTTCTGGTGGAGTACTCTATACTCCTCTGTAAACTGGTCATCTCTGTATACCTGGCTTCTTTATACAGTCCTCTTAGGCCTCACTCCCCCCTATTAACCATGTTGTTGTCATGTTGTGTTGCTACAATGCTGTGTTGTCATGTTGTATTGCTGCCATGCTGTGTTGTCATGTTTTGTTGTTACAATGCTGTGTTGTCATGTTGTGTTGCTGCCATGCTGTGTTGTCATGTTGTGTTGCTGCCATGCTGTGTTGTCATGTTGTGTTGCTGCCATGCTGTGTTGTCATGTTGTGTTGCTGCCATGCTGTGTTGTCATGTTGTGTTGCTGCCATGCTGTGTTGGTCATGTTGTGTTGCTGCCATGCTGTGTTGTTGTCATGTTGTGTTGCTGCCATGCTGTGTTGTCATGTTGTGTTGCTGCCATGCTGTGTTGTTGTCATGTTGTGTTGCTGCCATGGTGTGTTGTCATGTTGTGTTGCTGCCATGCTGTGTTGTCATGTTGTGTTGCTGCCATGCTGTGCTGCCATGCTGTGTTGTTGTCATGTTGTGTTGCTGCCATGCTGTGTTGCCATGCTGTGTTGTCATGTTGTGTTGCTGCCATGCTGTGTTGTCTTAGGTCTCTCTTTGTGTAGTGTTGTGGTGTCTCTTGTCGTGATGTGTGTTTTGTCCACATGTTTTATTTTTAATCCCAGCCCCTCTCCCCGCAGGAGGCCTATTGTAAATAATAAGTTGGTTTTAATTGACTTGCCTAGTTAAATAAAATCATGTTAGAGGAGGATGGCTTAACTCTTTATCTGTTAGTCTGTGTCTGTGTTTACATTGTGTGTGACTGTAGGGGTGTGTGTCGTTTGGGAAAGTCCAGTTCTGTTGGTTAGTCTGGGCAGCCAGTGACACGGTCGACTGCTATGCCTGTGTGTGCAGGGGTCGGTATATAGATCTGTTTGTGTTAGGGCAGTGTGTGTGTGTGTGTGTGTGACTGTAGGTGTGTGTGTTTGTTGGAAAGTTTGGGAAAGTCCAGTTCTGTTGGTTAGTCAGTGACAGTCGGCTGCTATGCCTGTGTGTGCAGGGGTCGGTATTTAGATCTGAGTGTGTGTTCATGCAGCTAAATGTATGTAGTGGGGGAGGGAGGGAGGGAGGGAGGGAGGGAGGGGAGGGAGGGGAGAGAGAGAGGGAGGGAGAGAGGGAGTGTGAAGGTAACTAAAAGAGAAAGGTCATGTATTTTTTATGATGCTTTCAAATCTCTTCTGAGAGGAGAAGTAGACGTGTGATGAAGATGATGATCCTCTTCCTCCTTCCCCTCGAGTCCAGTGGGCTGTGATGATGATGACGTTACTCTTCCTCCCCCTCCAGAGAGTCCAGTGGGCTATGATGATGATGATGATGATGTTACTCTTCCTCCCCCTCCAGAGAGTCCAGTGGGCTGTGATGATGATGATGTTACTTTTCCTCCCCCTCTAGAGAGTGTGATGGCTTGAGAGCGGCTCCCCAGTCGAGCCTGCCTCCCGTCCCGGGTCCAAACTGTCTGACTGGGACTCCCCCTCTCCCTCCCCCTCTCTCCCCCCTCCCCGCCTGCTACGCCCTGCCTCCATCGCCATGGGAGACGGCCTGGAGGCGAGCAGCAGCCTAGACCCCGCCCACCGCCCCCTCTCCTTTAACCCCCCGCCCCCCGAGACATGGAACCCCTCGAGGCCCAAACGACAGACCAACCAGCTACAGGTAGTGTGTGTTTCTGGAACGACAGAACAACTAGCTTTGAACACTGATACTGTACTGTTTGATGGATTGGTTGGTTGGTTGGTCGGTCGGGTCGGGGCCCTATAAAATGTTAAATTTTTTGCCGTTTCCGTTTAGTTTTTGTCAGTTCTCGCTCTCAAAATCACACTTTTTTTTTTTTATAGAACTAAATTTGATATTTTAAATCCACATCAATGCTTAAACCACATCAGGAGACCACTTTTGAGGTCTGGGAAAGATCGAATACGTTTTTATTTGTGGATTTACTTACCCTTTTAATTCAACTCTGCACCAGCCAGAGACTGTTGTTTGGCTGGCGATGTTTCTGTAGCGCTCATGGGATTGCAGAGTTTGCAAAATAAATGGCCACTGGATTTATGCAAATCATGATATCATTCTATCAGGCAGGCATAGGCTCATTTGTAGTTAACATTTAATTGCGAAGGTTTTTGGGGAAAGCCTTTCCTTCTACCAGAAGACGGTTGTCATGACATTAGCATCATCACTAATGGCTACACAAAGTGGTAGACAAACGTGCACACACAGACAGGGGCCTGTGCCGTTGCCTCTTCAGAAAGCTGAAGGAAAACACCAATAACTGATGCATTTTGAAGTTCAATACATTTAGTTGATTTCCTACTGAGTTCTTCAATACATTTTTGAATATTGTTTAATTCTGTTTTAATGTCTGGATTCCGTGATTCTTTCCGCGTCGCAGATTTATAGGGCCCTAGTTGGTTGGTTGATTGATTGAGTGGTTGGTTGATGAATTGGTTGATTAACTTATTGATGGATAATAGGTTTATTTTGTTGCGTTACAGTACCTGTTGAAGGTGCTGTTGAAGACGCTGTGGAAACATCACTTCTCATGGCCCTTCCAGGCTCCCGTAGACGCCATCAAACTCAGCCTGCCTGTAAGTAGTGTGTGTGTGTGTGTGTGTGTCTGGTGGCGGGGGGACAATCACTTCTCATGGCCCTTCCAGGCTCCCGTAGACGCCATCAAACTCAGCCTGGCTGTAAGTACATAGGAGAGAGATGGAGGTAGAAAGGGGGTAGAGAGAGATGGGAGAGTAGAGAGGGGGTAGGACGAGAGAGAGATGGGAGAGAGAGACGGTAGTAGGAGCGGGGTAGAGACGGATGTTCCGAGAGATTTCTTTTCTGTTGGCTAGGGTAGGTATGAGTCTTTTTTCTCGTCTCCTTTTTTTGTTTTTTATTTTCTTCTACGCTCTCTTCTTTCTTTTCTCTTTTGTTTCTTTTTCTCTCTCTCTCTCTGTGTTTTCTCTATAGAGAGGGGAGAAGTTTGAGATGTAACCACATTACATAGAAAAGCTGACAAATGAACTGCTTCTTTACCTGTGTGAGACTGAGGAGAATGATGGAAATGGTTGACTGATTTCTGAAGCAAGCGTCTTGACTTTCTTTCCCTCTATCTCTCTCTCTCTCTCCTCTCCTGTCCAACCCCACCCCTCTCATCTCTCCCCCTCCAACCCCCCCTCTCTCCTCCCTCCCCCACCCCCATCTCTCTCCCTACCTCCAACCCTCCCTCTCTCTCCCCCTCTATCCACCCCCCTCTCTCCCCCCTCCCTCTGTCTCTCTCCTCCTCCCCTCTCCAGGATTACTATCAGATCATTAAGGTTCCTATGGACATGGGGACCATCAAGAAGAGAGCTAGAGAACAGCTACTATTGGAACGCCCAGGAATGTATACAGGACTTCAACACCATGTTCACCAACTGTTACATATACAACAAGGTACAGTACACACACACACACACACACACAGGAAAGACTGATAGTAGGGCTAGGGTTAACTGACGTGTGTGTCTGCCTGTGTGTGTGTTTGTGTGTGTTTGTGTGTGTTTGTGTGTGTGTGTGCAGCCTGGTGATGACATAGTGTTGATGGCGGAGGCTCTAGAGAAGATGTTTCTTCAGAAGATCTCTGAGATGCCCCAGGAGGAAACTGAGATCACCATGGTTACCAAGGGGCGGAGGGGTGGGCAGAGAGAAGCAGGTACGGGGAGGGAGTGGGTTTTAGTTAGAACTGTCAAAACAAAACTGATTGTTCTGATAGCAAGATTCAGATGATTGTTTTCATTACTAATGGTGTGCTTCCTCTGGGTGGACCTCCATCCCCTCTCTCTCTCTATCCCCCTTCATCCCTCTCCCTCTCTCTCTCTATCCCTCTCGCTCTCTCTATCCCCTCCCTCCCCCACTCTCTCTCTATCCCCCCTCTCTCTATCCCCTCCCTCCCTCTCTCTCTATCCCCCCCCCCCCCCCCCTCTCTCTCTCTCTCTCTCTCTCTCTCTATCCCCCTCCCTCCCTCTCTATCCCCCCCTCTCCTCCTCTCCAGGTCTCCTGTCTAAGTCTGACTCGGGCCAGGATTCATCTGCCTCCTCCACCCCCCACACTCGAGGTTTCTCCTCCCCGTCGCCGAGCCCTCAGACTCGGGGTCTCCCCGTATCCCAGGGGCCCCCCACCCTCCCACTTGCCCTCCCCCTTCAGACCCAGCCCCCTCGCGTGCCCCCCACCCCTCCCTCCCACGCCCCCCAGCTGGGACCACCCTTCCCCATCAGCCCTCTGGATGTCCTGGCCCAGGGCCTCACCTCCGTACCCCCCCCACCCTAACCCCCACCCCCCAGCCCACCCAGGCCTTCACCCTGCTGCCCTGCCCATCCTACAGAGCAACACACCCCCCGCTAAGGTGAGGAGACCAGAGGGAGGAAAGAAGGGGTGGGGTAGGGGAGTTTTGAAAGTGTGTGGTGGAGTGGGACGAGGACACAAACTTCTATTGATGGAAATGTGTTTGAAATAGGAAGTCTCTCTTTCCTCCAGTCATGCACTGAGATGTTCCCATGTACCTTCATTATCTTACTAGTAGTTTACTGTCTTTTATTCCTGGCCCTGGGGACCCAACGGGGACCGTTTTAGTTAGTGCTTTAGTGCCGCACACCTGATTTCAACTCGTCATGTGTAGTGCTTGGGAATGTGTGGCGTTGTCTTGACCTCTAACCCCTGACCTTTAACCCCCCGCAGCAGAGGAAGAGCCAGAAGAGGAAGGCGGACACCACCACGCCCACCGCCAACGACCAGCTCAGCGAGTTGTCTCCCGTGGCGATGGAGCCCCGCCCCCGCCGCGAGAGCAGCAGCCGGCCGCTGAAGCAGCCCAAACGGGACCCCGCCCAGCCCGACTCCCAGCACCACCTGGGGCTAGGCGGGGGGGTAACCGGGGCGGTAACGAGTCACGGCGGGAGCCCCAAGCGCCAGGTATTCTTCTTCTAATAAAACAGTAGAGAAACTGGCCAACCAGAAGGTTCAAATCAGTGATGTATATAAACACTAGATGACTGACGGGGTTGAAGGGTTAGCGTTGTATGTGTCTGTCTGTCTGTCTAGGGTTAGGGTTGTATCTGTGTGTCTGTATATCAGAGGGGTTGGGTACAGCTGAAGACACATTTCTCATATGGAATAATAAAGTATTCTCTGTCTTCTCCTCTCCCTCTCCTCCTCTCCCTCTCCCTCTCCTCCTCTCTCTCTCCTCCTCTCTCTCGCTCCCTCTCCTCCTTCTCTCTCCTCTCTCTCTCTCCCTCTCCTCCTTCTCTCTCCTCTCTCTCTCTCCCTCTCCTCCTCTCTCTCTCCCTCTCCTCCTCTCTCTCGCTCCCTCTCCTCCTTCTCTCCTCCTCTCCTCTCTCCTCTCCTCTCCTCCTCCTCTCTCCCTCTCTCCTCTCCCTCTCCTCCTCTCTCTCTCTCTCCCTCTCTCTCCTCTTCTCCTCCTCTCTCTCTCCCTCTCCTCTCTCTCTCCCTCTCCTCCTCTCTCTCTCTCCCTCTCCTCCTCTCTCTCTCCCTCTCCCTCTTCTCTCTCCCTCTCTCTCTCTCCCTCTCTCCTCTCTCTCTCCTCTCCTCCTTCTCTCTCATCTCTCTCGTCTCTCCTCGTCGTCCATCCTCTCTCTCTCCCTTCTTCTCTCCCTCTCCTCCATCTCTCTCTCTCTCTCCTCCTCTTCCTCTCTCTCTCTTCCCTCTCCTCCTCTCTCTCTCCTCTCTCCTCTCTTCTCTCCTCTCCTCTTCCTCTCTCTCTCCTCTCCTCTCCTCCTCTCTCTCTCCTCTCTCCTCTCTCTCCTCTCTCTCTCTCAGCCTCTCTCCTCCTCCCTCCTTCCTCTCTCACTCTCTCTCTCTCTCCTCTCCTCTCCTCCTCGTCTCTCCCTCCCCTCTCCTCCTTCCTTCTCTCTCCCTCTCCCCATCCCTTCTCTCCTCCTCTCTCATCTCCCTCTCCGCCTCTCCTCTCCTCTCCTCCTTCCTCCTCCTCTCTCTCTCCCTCTCCTCCTTCTCTCTCCTCCTCCCTTCTCTCTCCCCTTCCCTCCTTCGCTCCCTCTCTCTCTCTCCTCTCTCCCTCTCCCTCCTCCTTCTCTCCTCCCTCCTCCTTCTCTCTCTCCTCCTCTTCCCTCATTCTCCTCTCCCTCATTCGTCCTCTCTCCCTCTCTCCTCCTCCCTCTCTCTTCTCTCTCCTCCCTCTCCTCCTCCTCCTTCCCTCTCCTCCTCCTCTCCCCCTCTCCTCCTCTCTCTCTCCCTCTCCTTCTTCCTCTTCTAGGAGCAGCTGCGGTACTGTGGAGGTCTGATTAGAGACATGTTGTCTAAGAAACACGTGGAGTACGCGTGGCCCTTCTACAAGCCTGTCGACGCGCACGCCCTCGGTCTCCACGACTACCACGACATCATCAAACACCCTATGGACCTCGGAACCATCAAGGTGAGGTCATCAAAAGTGGACCCTCACTCATTCATTCTTAATTAGATGAGTCATGATGTCATCAGAAGTGGACCTCCTACAGTGAGGGAAAAATGTATTTGATCCCCTGCTGATTTTGTACGTTTGCCCACTGACAAAGACATGATCAGTCTATGATTTTAATGGTAGGTTTATTTGAACAGTGAGAGACAGAATAACAACACAAAAATCCAGACAAACGCATGTCAAAAATGTTATAAATTGATTTGCATTTTAAGGAGAGAAATAAGTATTTGACCCCTCTGCAAAACATTACTTAGTACTTGGTGGCAAAACCCTTGTTGGCAACCACAGAGGTCAGACGTTTCTTGTAGTTGGCCACCAGGTTTGCACACATCTCAGGAGGGATTTTGTTCCACTCCTCTTTGCAGATCTTCTCCAAGTCATTAAGGTTTCGAGGCTGATGTTTGGCAACTCGAACCTTCCGCTCCCTCCACAGATTTTCTATGGGATTAAGGTCTGGAGACTGGCTAGGCCACTCCAGGACCTTAATGTGCTTCTTCTTGAGCCACTCCTTTGTTGCCTTGGCCGTGTGTTTTGGGTCATTGTCATGCTGGAATACCCACCCACAACCCATTTTCAATGCCCTGGCTGAGGGAAGGAGGTTCTCACCCAAGATTTGACGGTACATGGCGCCGTCCATTGTCCCTTTGATGCGGTGAAGTTGTCCTGTCCCCTTAGCAGAAAAACACCCCCAAAGCATAATGTTTCCACCTCCATGTTTGACGGTGGGGATGGTGTTCTTGGGGTCATAGGCAGCATTCCTCCTCCAAACACGGCGAGTTGAGTTGATGCCAAAGAGCTCCATTTTGGTCTCATCTGACCACAACACTTTCACCCAGTTCTCTGAATCATTCAGATGTTCATTGGCAAACTTCAGACGGACATGTATATGTGCTTTCTTGAGCAGGGGGACCTTGCGGGCGCTGCAGGATTTCAGTCCTTCACGGCGTAGTGTGTTACCAATTGTTTTCTTGGTGACTATGGTCCCAGCTGCCTTGAGATCATTGACAAGATCCTCCCGTGTAGTTCTGGGCTGATTCCTCACCGTTCTCATGATCATTGCAACTCCACGAGGTGAGATCTTGCATGGAGCCCCAGGCCGAAGGGAGATTGACAGTTATTTGGTGTTTCTTCCATTTGCGAATAATCGCAGCAACTGTTGTCACCTTCTCACCAAGCTGCTTTGCGATGGTCTTGTAGCCCATTCCAGCCTTGTGTAGGTCTACAATCTTGTCCCTGACATCCTTGGAGAGCTCTTTGGTCTTGGCCATGGTGGAGAGTTTGGAATCTGATTGATTGATTGCTTCTGTGGACAGGTGTCTTTTATACAGGTAACAAACTGAAATTAGGTGCACTCCCTTTAAGAGTGTGCTCCTAATCTCAGCTCGTTACCTGTATGAAAGACACCTGGGAGCCAGAAACCTTTCTGATTGAGAGGGGGTCAAATACTTATTTCCCTCATTAAAATTCAAATCAATTTATAACATTTTTGACATGCGTTTTTCTGGATTTTTTTGTTGTTATTCTGTCTCTCACTGTTCAAATAAACCTACCATTAAAATTATAGACTGATCATTTCTTTGTCAGTGGACAAACGTACAAAATCAGCAGGGGATCAAATCCTTTTTTCCCCTCACTGTAGCTGTCTGAGAGGAAGACCAGACAGACTGGAGAGTAGCTTCCACCTGCTCCTCTTATAGCTCTGAATACACTGAAGGGTAACACCAGGGGGTTTGGGGTAACACCAGGGGGTTTGGGGTAACACCAGGGGGTTTGGGGTAACACCAGGGGGTTTGGGGTAACACCAGGGGGTTTGGGGTAATACACTGAAGGGGTAACACCAGGGGTTTGGGGTAATACGTTGAAGGGGTAACACCAGGGGGTTTGGGGTAACACCAGGGGGTTTGAGGTAATACGTTGAAGGGGTAACACCAGGGGGTTTGGGGTAATACGTTGAAGGGGTAACACCAGGGGGTTTGAGGTAATACGTTGAAGGGGTAGCACCAGGGGGTTTGAGGTAATACGTTGAAGGGGTAACACCAGGGGGTTTGGGGTAACACCAGGGGGTTTGGGGTAATACATTGAAGGGGTAACACCAGGGGGTTTGGGGTAACACCAGGGGGTTTGGGGTAATACACTGAAGGGGTAACACCAGGGGGTTTGGGGTAATACCAGGGGGTTTGGGGTAATACACTGAAGGGGTAACACCAGGGGGTTTGGGGTAATACGTTGAAGGGGTAACACCAGGGGGTTTGGGGTAATACATTGAAGGGGTAACACCAGGGGGTTTGGGGTAACACCAGGGGGTTTGGGGTAATACATTGAAGGGGTAACACCAGGGGGTTTGGGGTAACACCAGGGGGTTTGGGGTAATACACTGAAGGGGTAACACCAGGGGGTTTGGGGTAATACCAGGGGGTTTGGGGTAATACACTGAAGGGGTAACACCAGGGGGTTTGGGGTAATACATTGAAGGGGTAACACCAGGGGGTTTGGGGTAATACATTGAAGGGGTAACACCAGGGGGTTTGGGGTAATACGTTGAAGGGGTAACACCAGGGGGTTTGGGGTAACACCAGGGGGTTTGGGGTAATACGTTGAAGGGGTAACACCAGGGGGTTTGGGGTAATACATTTGAGGGGGGAGAGGTTCTTTTTTCACCAGAATTTTCACCAGGCGCATCGGAATTCGGTAAGAAGGACACGCTGTTGCATGTTCTGGTACATTTTTACATTTTAGTCATTTAGCAGACGCTCTTATCCAGAGCGACTTACAGTAAGTGAGTGGCATACATTTTCATACTGGCCCCCCCGTGGGAATCGAACCCACAACCCTGGCGTTGCAAGCGCCATGCTCTACCAACTGAGCTACACGGGGCCAGTTAAGATGAATTACCGTAATCTAAATGAATTACCGTAATCTAAATGAATTACCGTAATCTAAATGAATTACCGTAATCTAAATGAATTACCGTAATCTAAATGAATTACCGTGGGTGGAAGCCCTAATGGGTTATGCACCCAATGCATATAGGTCCTATACGTTTCTTAAATGTCCGGTAGATTAAAATGTTTCCTAACGGAAACCCTGGTTGTCACATCCTCGTGGTGTTAATTGGTAACCATGTGTTTCTGTCTCTGCGCTGTGTGTGTTTCTGTCTCTGCGCTGTGTGTGTTTCTGTCTCTGCGCTGTGTGTCTCTCTGTGTCTGCGCTGTGTGTGTCTCTGTGTCTGCGCTGTGTGTCTCTGTGTCTGCGCTGTGTGTCTCTGTGTCTGCACTGTGTGTCTCTGTGTCTGCACTGTGTGTGTCTCTGTCTCTGCGCTGTGTGTCTCTCTGTGTCTGCGCTGTGTGTGTCTCTGTGTCTGCGCTGTGTGTCTCTGTGTCTGCACTGTGTGTGTCTCTGTGTCTGCACTGTGTGTGTCTCTGTGTCTGCACTGTGTGTGTCTCTGTGTCTGCACTGTGTGTGTCTCTGTGTCTGCGCTGTGTGTGTCTCTGTGTCTGCGCTGTGTGTGTCTCTGTGTCTGCGCTGTGTGTGTCTCTGTGTCTGCGCTGTGTGTCTCTGTGTCTGCGCTGTGTGTGTGTCTGCGCTGTGTGTGTCTCTGTGTCTGCGCTGTGTGTCTCTGTGTCTGCGCTGTGTGTCTCTGTGTCTGCGCTGTGTGTCTCTGTGTCTGCGCTGTGTGTCTCTGTGTCTGCACTGTGTGTGTCTCTGTGTCTGCGCTGTGTGTCTCTGTGTCTGCACTGTGTGTCTCTGTCCCCTCAGAATAAGCTGGACAGCAGGCAGTACAGAGATGCTCAGGAGTTTGCTGCTGAAGTCCGGTTGATGTTCTCCAACTGTTACAAATACAACCCTCCAGACCATGACGTGGTCAATATGGCACGCAAACTACAGGTAAACTACACAACATGGTTGCTATGGCACGCAAACTACAGGTAAACTACACAACATGGTTGCTATGGCACGCAAACTACAGGTAAACTACACAACATGGTTGCTATGGCACGCAAACTACAGGTAAACTACACAACATGGTTGCTATGGCACGCAAACTACAGGTAAACTACACAACATGGTTGCTATGGCACGCAAACTACAGGTAAACTACACAACATGGTTGCTATGGCACGCAAACTACAGGTAAACTACACAACATGGTTGCTATGGCACGCAAACTACAGGTAAACTACACAACATGGTTGTTATGGCACGCAAACTACAGGTATAAAACAACACAACAGATACACAACTACACAAACTACAGGTGAACAACTACAACACATCTGACAATCATAACAAAAAAAACTACAACCAACCAACAGCACTTTCAGACAAATGACAAGTGTCAACATAAACAGTGTTGAATGGTGAATGAATAAATGATGAACTACAAATCTCACGGTGCCACGGACTAAAGTTCCCATAGTTCATAGCTCTGACCGCTCTCTCTTTCTCTCTCTCTACAGGACGTGTTTGAGATGCGCTTTGCCAAAATGCCAGACGAGCTTGAGGAGACGGCCCCCCTCAACACCCCCTCCCCCGCCATCAACCCCCTCCCCACCCTCCACACCCTCCCTGTTCCCGCTCTCCACCCCCTCCCCACCCCCTCGGCCAGACAGCCCCCTGCCCCCCGACCCCCCTCCTCCTCCGATGACAGCTCCTCCTCGTCGGAGTCAGAATCCTCAGAGGGAGGCATGGAACACGAGAGAACACAGAGATTGGCTGAACTACAGGAACAGGTGAGGGGGAGAGGAGATGGGAGGAGAGGAGGAGCAGGAGGTGAGGAGGAGGAGGGGAGAGGATGGAAGGAGGAGGGTATATGTTGCATACTAGGAGAAGAATGAGGGGTTGGGAGGAAGAAGAGGGGATGATAGGCAGAGAAGGAGGAAGAGAAAAAGTGGGGGAGGAGATAATGTCGAGGCGGGAGAGTAGAGAGTGGAGAAGGTGATGGGGTGGAGAGGAGAGGATGGAGAAGGTGATGGGGGTGGAGAGGAGAGGATGGAGAAGGTGATGGGGTGGAGAGGAGAGGATGGAGAAGGTGATGGGGTGGAGAGGAGAGGATGAGAAGGTGATGGGGTGGAGAGGAGAGGATGGAGAAGGTGTTGGGGTGGAGAGGAGAGATGGTCGATGGGTGGGATGGAGAGGAGAGGAGGAGAAGGTGATGGGGTTGGGAGGAGAGGAGAGGTAGGGGGAAGGTGATGGAGAGAGAGAGTGGAGAGAGAAGGTCTGTGGGGTTGGAGAGGCTGGCGGGTGTGAGGTGCGGCGCGGGGCCGGATGGGGTGGCGCGGCGGGGCCGGTGCTGGGGTGGAGACGGCTGGCGCGGTGCTGGGGTGGCGGGAGGCTGGGGGGGCGCGCGGCGAGGTAGATGGGTGGGCGCGGGTCGGAGGGCCGGTGCGAGGTGCGCGGGCGCGTGAGCCGGTGATGGGGTGGAGAGGAGAGGATGGAGAAGGTGATGGGGTGGAGAGGAGAGGAGGGGAAGAAGGTGAGGGGGTGGAGGGGGGAGGTGGAGATAAAAGGGAGGGGGGGGAGGAAAAATGATTTGATGAAGACGGGAGGGGACGGGTTTAAGAAGGGAGGATGGGTAAGAAGGGAGACGGGAAAAGGGGGGGAAATGGACTGAGAAAGAAGAAGGGATGACTGAGGCAGAAGGGGGTACAAGAGGTAAAGAACATGTAGGAAGGTTTTAAAAAAATCTCCCCTCCCCCAAAAGAGATATAATAAAATAAGAAGAAAGGGGGGTTTAAGAAAGGAGAGAAGAGAGGGGAGGGAAAAAGGGGGAAAAGGGATTTTCCCTTTTGAACACAGAACAGGTAAAAGAAGAGGGGTGGAGAAAAAAAAAAAGGGGTTGAAAGTGAGCTTGTCTCTTTAAAATCCCCCTGTGTTGGTCGGGCCCTTTACAGTTTCAAAGCTTTTCAGAACAGCGGGCCCCGCTCGTCCACGCCCCGGGCCCAAACCAAAAAGCCCAAGAAAAAAAGAGAGGGGAGGGGGAAAAGGGGGAGAAAAAAAAACAAGCACAAGAAAAAAGGGGGAGGGGGGGAAAGCCACCGGGGGGGGTCCCCCCCCCCTTGCCTCCTCCGCCAACCGGGAAAGAGAAAAAACCGGAAGGAGAGGGGTTGGCCCCACCCCCAAAAGATCAAAAAACCTAGGTGGGGGGCGGATGGAGAGAAACCCAGGTAGGATGGATGGAGAGAAACCCAGGTAGGACGGATGGAGAGAAACCCAGGTAGGACGGAGGGAGGGGGCCCCCGGGTAGGATGAGGTTTGGGGAAAAACCCCGGGTTTGGATGGTTGGAGGGGGAAAAAAAAATTTTTGGGGGAAAATTGGATGGAAAAGGAAAAAAAACCCGGGTTTTGGGGGAAAGGGGGAAAGGGGAGGAGAAAAACCCGGGTTTTAGGACGGATGGAGAGAAACCCGGGTTTTTAAGGAGGAGGGAAAGAAAAAACCCGGGTAGGACAGAGGGGGAAAAACCCAAAGGTTTAGGGGGGAGGGAGAAAAAACCCAGGTAGGAGGAGGAGAAAAAACCCAGGTAGGAGGGGAATGGGGGAAGGAAACCCGGGTTTGGGAGGGGAGGGAGAGAAACCCAGGTAGGAGGATGGAGTAAAAAACCCAGGTAGGAGGAAATGGAGAAAAAACCCCGGGAAAGGACGGGAGGAGAAAACCCGGGGGGTAGGACGGGAGATGCCCTGTTTGGGTTTAATCCTTTCTCCCTCTTTCTCCGAAAAAAGGTAAAAACCGGAAAAAGTGGGGGAAAAAAAAAACAGTCTTTCCGGGGCCCCCCCCCAAACCCCCCCGGGCCCGGGCCCCCACCCCCCTTGCCCCTCTGCCCGGGGGGGGCAGAAGATGACACGGGGTGGGGTGAGTGGGGAGATTTATAAGATAAAAATATATAAATTTTTTTTTTAAATTTTAAAGTATTTTTGGGGCCCGGGGGTTTTGGGGGGGGCGGGGGGAAAAAAAAAAAAAAAAAAAAAAAAAAAGGGGGAAAAAAAGGGGGGCCCCCCCCCGGGGGGAAAAAAAAAAACCCCCCCCAAAAAAAGGGGCCCCCCCCGGGGTCCCCTTAAACCCCCCCCGGGGGGGGGGGGGGGAAAAAAAAAAAAAAAAAGGGAAAAAAACCCTTTTTAAAGGGGGGGGGAAACCCCAAAGGGCCCCCGGGGGGAAAAAAAGGGGGGGGGAAAAAAGGGGGAGGAAAAAAAGGGGGGGGGGAAAAAAAGGGGGAAAAAAAAAAGGGGGGGGAAAGGGGGGGAAAGGGGGGGGGGGGGGGGGGAAAAAAAGGGGGGAAAGAAATTAAGGGGGGGAAAAAAAAAAAACCCCCCGGGGGGGGGGGTTAAAAGGGGGAAAAAATTTTTGGGGAAAAAAAGGGGGGGCCCCCCCCGGTTAACCCCCCCGGGGGGGCCCCCCAAAAAAAAAAAAAAGGGGGGGAAAAAAAAGGGGGGGGGAAAAAATTTGGGGCCGGGGGGGGGGGGGTAAAAACCCCAAGGGGGGCCCGGGGAAAAAAAATAAAAAAATCCCTGGGGAAAAGGGGGGGGGGGGGGGCCCCCCCCCCCCTTTTTTTCCGGTTTTTAGGAAGGGGAAAATTTAAAAGGAAAAATTTTTTAAAAAAAGGGGTTTTTTGGAAATTTTAAAAAAAACCCCGGGGGGTTTTTTTAAAGAGGCAAAAGTAAAATTTTTTTTAAAAAAAAAAAATTTTTTTTTCATTTTAAAAAAAAATGGTTTTTGGGGGGGGGGTTTTTTTAAAGGGGCATGTTAAACCTTTCCCCCAAAAAAAAAAAAAAAAAAAAAAAAAAAAAAAAAAAAAAAAAAAAAAAAAAAAAAAAAAAAAAAAAAAAAAAAAAAAAAAAAAAAAAAAAAAAAAAAAAAAAAAAAAAAAAAAAAAAAAAAAAAAAAAAAAAAAAAAAAAAAAAAAAAAAAAAAAAAAAAAAAAAAAAAAAAAAACCCCCAAAAAAATTTTTAAAAAAAAAAAAAAAAATTTTTTTTTGGGGGGGTTTTTTTTTTAAAAAAAAAAAAATTTTTTTTTTTTTGGAAAGGAAAAGGGAAAAAACTTAAAAAAAAACTCCTGAAAAACAGGTTTTTTAAAAAAAAATAAACAAATTTAACCCACAACCCTCCAAAACACAACACAAACCCCCCCCCAAATTAAAGGTTTTTTCCCCCCCCAACCCCCCAAAAAAAATGTTTTTTGGGACGGGTTTTAATAAAAATTTCGGCAACTTCCTACCAAATTAAAAACCTCCCTTTTAAATGTGTCTCCCATTCCCTTAGGAACATTTCATTTTCCCCGAGGGCAGTTTGTTTTTATTCAACGGTTTTTCGTGGCCCCGAAGGATGGAAAGGGAAAAAGGGAGAGAAACAAAAAAAAGGAAAGGAGGGGCGGGGAGGAGAAGAAAAAGAAAAGAAGAGAGAGAAAGAGAGAGCGAAGCGCGGAGAGATGATAGTAGATACAGAGAGAGAGAAGCCAGAGAAGCAGATGGCGTATACTCAGCTTCTTCAAAAACGCGACCTCCGCGCGTCTCTCGTTCCTCGCGCCACTCTCTCTCTCGTCTCCCTCTCGCTATTCCCTCGACTCTCTCTCCTCCTATACCTAATCCGCTCGATCTCCCTACCATGCTCTCTCTAAGGAGAAAGACGAGACCGCAAATCCTCTCTCTCTCTTCCCTCTCTCTCTTTCAGCGGCTGGCCCCCCAGCAGCAGAAGTCGTCCTCCATTGATATAGACTGTAAGAGACTCCACCACCCCAACCTGTCCAGCAGGGGGGGGGTCAGCATCACCCCTCTGGACCCCTCCTCCTCCTCCCCCCCACCCCCAGACCCCCCTAGTTCAGTCTAAACCACCCCAGCAGCAGCAGCAGCATCAACACCCCTTCGCCCCCCCTCCTCCTCCCTCCATCCCCCCTGTCCCCGTGACCTCTCTTGACTCCTCTTTGACCTTTGACCCCCTAGCTCACTTCCTGGCCCCCCATCTGACCCAGCAGGGGGGGGAGCCCCCCCATAATGCACTGGGGCCCACCGCCGCCGGACCCCCCCACCTCAACGCTACCAACACACACACACCCCCGGCCACACACACCTCGGAGAGCACACACCCCTTCCTCAACCAGCAGGCTGTCATACCCTCCCCAGGTATGTGGATGGACGGACACACCACACATGTATATCCTTCATTGTGTCGAGGGGTTTTGATGAAACATTTAGATTTTTGAAATGTCATTTATTTCTGTACTTACTCTTTTTGTCCCTCCCCCCATCTCTTACTCTCTTTCTCTCTACTCTGTGACGCCATGTCACATCTCAAGAGTCGCGCGCGCAGATCGAGCTATCCTAGACCGTCTCTATCTATTCCCTCTCTATCGTAGCCTCTCCTTTCTGCTCTCTCATACCTCTATAGCTCTACTCTCCTTCTCTCTCTCCTCCCTCTCTCTCTCTCCTCTCCTTCTCTCTCTCTGTAGCACTCCACAACGATCTCCCCCAGCAGCCGTCCCGCTCCAGCAACCGAGTGGCCCCCAAACCCCCCCAGCCTCCCCCCTCCTCCCTTCCCCCTCCGCTCCTCCTCCTCCTCCTTCCCAGCCCTCCCTACCCCTCTCCCTTCCCCAACCCTCCCTCCCTCGCCCTCGTGTCCCTTCTCCCCCCACCCCCCACGGAATCCTAGGGGTCTCGGCCCAACCCCCTCAAGCCCTATTTGAGGACGACGAGGAGGCCACGCCCACTAACTCTGAAACCCTGCCCCCTCCCCTCCCGCTCAGCCAGGGGCACGTGTACCTGCAGTCGCTGCAGCGGTCCCGGCCCCCGGCACACACACACTCTCCTGGACAGGTGCCGTCTCAGCTCATGCAGGCCATGCAGACTCAGTCACAGGCGGCGGCCGCTCCAACCCAGCAACAGCAGAGACTCGCGGCACACCCTCACACACACCCTCACACACACCCTCACACACATCCTCACACACACCCTCACACACACATGCAGCAGGCGGGGCAGGGGATGTCGTTCCCCCAGCAACAGAGCACCATGCACTCGGCACAGAAGGGGCTCAAGCAGAAACTACAACAACAACAACAACAACAACAACAACAACCACCACCACGGATCAAAACTGAGCCTTTTAATACAGGTAGGAGAGATATTACAGACACGGACGGACACACAGACGGACACACACACAGACGGACACACAGACAGACGGACACACAGACGGACACACAGACGGACACACAGACGGACACACACACGGACGGACGGACGGACGGACACACAGACACACAGAGCAAACCTTTTGAGAACCCCCCCACTAGAGGTATTCTCGGATCCTGAAATTGAGATCTGAACCGAATTGGATCCGTGAAACTCCCATCCAACAAAGACAGGACCCTGTCATTTTTTTGCAAAATCAATATCAAATCCGATTCGGATCCGACGAGGTGGACCAGATCCGACCCAAAATATGTCCCAGATGAGGGAGAATCGGATCCAAACTGGGTCGGGTCTGTATCGGACCCAGATGGGTCTTTATGCGGCTTTATTGCTGCGCAAGCTAGCAGAACTGTTCTGTCTTGTCTTGTCTGGCAGTGAATGTTAACATTTCACATGTGTTTTCTGTTGTAGGCCTCTAAAATAATAGAGTTGTGGTCCAAACTACAGCTTTTAGTACTTTCATAAATGACATCCCTGATTTTAAAATGTGGGCAGTAGACGGGAAGGGGCGTGTGGAGAAGACGTACTATAGTCTCTCCAGAATGCTCTCTGTCTCCCGCTAATTTGTGATCATTCATTGTTTCATGGTGTGAATTGTATCCCCTTTGTTAATTTAAACGAGTTATGTATTTTGTTTTGAGCACGCATCGAAGTACCTGGCCTGTGCGCAAATATAGGTCTGATAGTATTTCTGATTGGCTTAACTCACCACCACTAATGAGCTGTGGAGCTTCTCAAAGTCATTGTTCTTCACCTCACACATTCAACAGAGCGTTCTACATCCATTGTGAATGACAATAGATCCTCACTGTATTTGAAACATCTTTCCAACTACTCGATAGGCCTAAGTAACCACCGCGCCTCAGTGTGAAATAGCAACATATTGCTGATCCCATATCCCCAGTGGAAACATCATAAAATAGGCTATCTGAACTCTTCTCCCTGTGTGAATACCGCTGTCTGTTCAGTGAGGGCCCAGTTGGAACACTGTTGCTATAGCGAGAGATCAAGCCAGAGAGAGGCAAACAGGCGTTGGAGATAGATTAATGCTATTGACTAAACCAACTGCCAAGCGTACCAAATGTGATTTATAGAGGATATTTATTTTCATCAGGATATTTTCATCAAATATATTTTTGGATCTGGTCGGTTTTCCACATATTTTCAGACTGTTAGGATCTCAGGTAATCAAGTTAGGGTATAGCCGTGAAGACCTCTACCCCCACCCCCCTAATTTGCATACGGGTGTTTCTCCCGTTGTGATAGGTCCTCTGAGGGAGAGCCCCTCCCCTCTGATGATACATTCTCCCCAGATGCCTCAGTTCCCACCAATGAGACAGTCCCCTTCCCAGCCCAAGAAACCTGTGAGTACACAAAGAGAGCGAGTGTGTGTGTGTGTGTGTGTGTGTGTGTTAACCTTGTGTGTTCTCTCTAGAACCAGAGGGGGTTAAATAGGATGTGTGTGTACAGTGTGTGTGTGTTAACCCGGTGTGTTCTCTAGAACCAGAGGGGTTTTTTAGGGGTTAAAGAGGATGTGTGTGTGTGTGTGTTAACCCAGTGTGTTCTCTCCAGAACCAGAGGGTTAAAGAGGAGAAGCCGCTCCCCTCCCCGGTGCTGCCCCCCCCCTCCCCCTTCAACCCCGCCCTGCGACACCACACAGACAACAAGCACACGCACAGTGAGTACACACCTGGCTCTGTAGAGAGAGAGAGCGACACGTCTCTGCCTCTTCTGTCTGTAGAGTGTTTCTATTTTAGAATTTCAGAGCAACAAATGTTAAAGTAATTCAAAGTGAATAGGTCACCTGTATCAACCAATCGTATGACACCTGCAGGATCAGATGTGAAGCTATTGGACGGTTCTCGTCCTGGGCTCCGCCTCCCGGACTCACCGGCCCCTCCCCATCAGAACAGCAAACTGAAGCAGGAGGCCAAGACGCCCATCGCCCCCAAGAAGACACAGGTGTGTGTGTGTGTGTGTGTGTGTGTGTAAGTCAGAAGCATGTAGATTCAGAACTTAATTTAAAGGACAAGTTTCCTTTTTTACAACCAAATCTCTATTTTTTTTATGTAAATATCATGTTATAGAAGGGTCCAGACACTTTTTTTGTGATTTCACATGTTTTTGAGAAACCTACCCCAACCTTACCCCAATGGAGGGAGGGAGGGAGGGAGGGAGGGAGGTAGGGAGGTGGAGCAGTCAGGTGTTCAACCAGCAGCTGAGGCCCGACATCTGGGGACTGGTGGTGCGATGGTAAACGATGCCCACTGAAGACGAGTGTCTTTGCTGCGCGGAGTGGGACCTGCTTGTGCCAGCCTTGTCAAATGTAAATGTATCTGGCGACGAGACAACGTTGTCCCGCGAGTGCACCCCACTCTGCAACAAGTGACAATGACTTTTCAGCCCTCATCAACTCCTGCAGTTCTAGAAATGTTTTTTAAATTTCAAATTGAGTAATGGAAGAACACGTGTAAAACTTTTATTTCACCGTTGAAGAACACATAATAACATATTGACAGTATCAGTACAGTAGCATGAGCTACATGGTGGATGAGAGGATACAGTGCCTTGCAAAAGTATTCACCCCCTTTGCTATGAAGCCCCTAAATAAGATCTGGTGCAATCTAAGTGTCACATGATCTGTCACATGATCTCAGTATATATACACCTGTTCTGAAAGGCCCCAGAGTCTGCAACACCACTAAGCAAGGAGCACCATGAAGACCAAGGAGCTCTCCAAACAGGTCAGGGACAAAGTTGTGGAGAAGTACAGATCAGTGTTGGGTTATAAAAAAATATCCCAAACTTTGAACATTTACATTTACATCATTTAGCAGACATCCCACGGAGCACCATTAAATCCATTATTAAAAAATTGAAAGAATATGGCACCATAACAAACTTGCCAAGAGAGGGCTGCCCACCAAAACTCACAGACCAGGCAAGGAGGGCATTAATCAGAGAGGCAACAAAGAGACCAAAGATAACCCTGAAGGAGCTGCAAAGCTCCACGGCGGAGATTGGAGTATCTGTCCATAGGACCACTTTAAGCCATACACTCCACAGAGCTGAGCTTTACGGAAGAGTGGCCAGAAAAAAGCCATTGACTAAAGAAAACAATAAGCAAACACATTTGGTGTTCGCCAAAAGGCATGTGGGAGACTCCCCAAACATATGGAAGAAGGTACTCTGGTCAGATGAGACTAAAATGGGGGTGAATAGTTATGCACACTCAGGTTTTCTGTGTTTTTTTTGTCTTATTTCTTGTTTGTTTCACAAAAAAAAATATTTTGCATCTTCAAAGTGGTAGGCATGTTGTGTAAATCAAATGATACAAACCCCAAAAAATCCATGGAGTTGGAAAAACACTTGTGTAAGGAAACAGACGCCGCTTCAATCTTGACAATAGGCAATCTTTTTCTCCCAATTAAAAAAAAACGGAAGTATCGCAGGACAAGACCAATACACAACCAACTGTCTGGATCAGCCCAGTCCTTCTGAAATGGTCCACAGATAAAACAGTCCTCAAACCATTGTTGTCTAGGCCCTAATCACCATAGGAGTCTAGGGCCCTGAGATGGGCCGTTAAGCTTCATTGTTCTGTAAATCAAGGTTTCTGACCCAACTCCAGCAGTCTCCTGTGAATTGATGTGTGCCCCGTTGACTTGAGTGGTTTGCTATTATTCTGTAAATCAAGACATAAACCCAGGTTGGCCTAAACCGGTTTTGAGATTACCATTTGTGTGGTGGCTTTGAAATGGACAATCAAAACTTGTTTAGGCCAACATAATGTCTTGATTTACAGAATAGTAGCAAAGCCTATCTCTTACCTCAGTTGCTATTTCTGCAGGTCCTAGACAGGTCCGGCAATGTCTTACTACGGTTACAGTTCTTCGTGGTGGTTTACAGAACTCGTCATCAGAAAAATGCTTGCTGCATACCCGTAGATTCAACGTACGAAGTCTGTGGATGGGAGTGTTTATGCATCTATACAGAACAACTAGCCAAAGCCTCATCCAAAGGAAGTACGTGAAAAGTTAGACTGTTGTTTTTTTTTGTGTTGTTGCATTTTGGGATTGCACATCTGCGAACCGTTTTCAGCAATATTCAGCAAACATAACAACTACAACTACAGTGAGGGAAAAAAGTATTTGATCCCCTGCTGATTTTGTATGTTTGCCCACTGACAAAGAAATGATCAGTCTATAATTTTAATAGTAGGTTTACTTGAACAGTGAGAGACAGAATAACAACAACAAAAATCCAGAAAAACGCATGTCAAAAATGTTATAAATTGATTGAGTATTTGACCCCTCTGCAAAACATGACTTAGTACTTGGTGGCAAAACCCTTGTTGGCAATCACAGAGGTCAGATGTTTCTTGTATTTGGCCACCAGGTTTGCAAACATCTCAGGAGGAATTTTGTCCCACTCCTCTTTGCAGATCTTTTCCAAGTCATTAAGTTTTCGAGGCTGACGTTTGGCAACTCGAACCTTCAGCTCCCTCCACAGATTTTCTATGGGATTAAGGTCTGGAGACTGGCTAGGCCACTCCAGGACCTTAATGTGCTTCTTCTTGAGCCACTCCTTTGTTGCCTTGGCCGTGTGTTTTGGGTCATTGTCATGCTGTAATACCCATCCACAACCCATTTTCAATGCCCTGGCTGAGGGAAGGAGGTTCTCACCCAAGATTTGACGGTACATGGCCCCTTCCATCGTCCCTTTGATGCGGTGAAGTTGTCCTGTCCCCTTAGCAGAAAAACACCCCCAAAGCATAATGTTTCCACCTCCATGTTTGATGGTGGGGATGGTGTTCTTGGGGTCGTAGGCAGCATTCCTCCTCCTCCAAACATGGCGAGTTGAGTTGATGCCATAGAGCTCAATTTTGGTCTCATCTGACCACAACACTTTCACCCAGTTCTCCTCTGAATCATTCAGATGTTCATTGGCAAACTTCAGACGGGCATGTACGCTGCTCAGAAAAATAAAGGGAACACTTAAACAACACAATGTAACTCCAAGTCAATCACACTTCTGTGAAATCAAACTGTCCACTTAGAAAGCAACACTGATTGACAATACATTTCACATGCTGTTGTGCAAATGGAATAGACAACAGGTGGAAATTATAGGCAATTAGCAAGACACCCCCAATAAAGGACTGGTTTTGCAGGTGGTGACCACAGACCACTTCTCAGTTCCTATGCTTCCTGGCTGATGTTTTGGTCACTTTTGAATGCTGGCGGTGCTTTCACTCTAGTGGTAGCATGAGACGGAGTCTACAACCCACACAAGTGGCTCAGGTAGTGCAGCTCATCCAGGATGGCACATCAATGCGAGCTGTGGCAAGAAGGTTTGCTGTGTCTGTCAGCGTAGTGTCCAGAGCATGGAGGTGCTACCAGGAGACAGGCCAGTACATCAGGAGACGTGGAGGAGGCCGTAGGAGGGCAACAATCCAGCAGCAGGACTGCTACCTCCGCCTTTGTGCAAGGAGGAGCAGGAGGAGCACTGCCAGAGCCCTGCAAAATGACCTCCAGCAGGCCACAAATGTACATGTGTCTGCTCAAACGGTCAGAAACAGACTCCATGAGGGTGGTATGAGGGCCCGACGTCCACAGGTGGGGGTTGTGCTTACAGCCCAACACCGTGCAGGACGTTTGGCATTTGCCAGAGAACACCAAGATTGGCAAATTCGCCACTGGCGCCCTGTGCTCTTCACAGATGAAAGCAGGTTCACACTGAGCACGTGACAGACGTGACAGAGTCTGGAGACGCCGTGGAGAACGTTCTGCTGCCTGCAACATCCTCCAGCATGACTGGTTTGGCGTGGGTCAGTCATGGTGTGGGTTGGCATTTCTTTGGGGGGCCGCACAGCCCTCCATGTGCTCGCCAGAGGTAGCCTGACTGCCATTAGGTACCGAGATGAGATCCTCAGACCCCTTGTGAGATCATATGCTGGTGCGGTTGGCCCTGGGTTCCTCCTAATGCAAGACAATGCTAGACCTCATGTGGCTGGAGTGTGTCAGCAGTTCCTGCAAGAGGAAGGCATTGATACTATAGACTGGCCCGCCCGTTCCCCAGACCTGAATCCAATTGAGCACATCTGGGACATCATGTCTCGCTCCATCCACCAACGCCACGTTGCACCACAGACTGTCCAGGAGTTGGCGGATGCTTTAGTCCAGGTCTGGGAGGAGATCCCTCAGGAGACCATCCGCCACCTCACCCCCAGGCGTTGTAAGGAGGTCATACAGGCACGTGGAGGCCACACACACTACTGAGCCTCATTTTGACTTGTTTTAAGGACATTACATCAAAGTTGGATCAGCCTGTAGTGTGGTTTTCCACTTTAATTTTGAGGGTGACTCCAAATCCAGACCTCCATTGGTTGATCAATTTAATTTCCATTGATAATTTTTGTGTGATTTTGTTGTCAGCACATTCAACTATGTAAAGAAAAAAGTATTTAATAAGATTATTTCATTCATTCAGATCTAGGATGTGTTATTTTAGTGTTCCCTTTATTTTTTTGAGCAGTGTATATGTGCTTTCTTGAGCAGGGGGACCTTGCGGGCGCTGCAGGATTTCAGTCCTTCACGCGTAGTGTGTTACCAAATGTTTTCTTGGTGACTATGGTCCCAGCTGCCTTGAGATCATTGACAAGATCCTCCCGTGTAGTTCTGGGCTAATTCCTCACCATTCTCATGATCATTGCAACTCCACGAGGTGAGATCTTGCATGGAGCCCCAGGCCGAGGGAGATTGACAGTTATTTTGTGTTTCTTCCATTTGCGAATAATCGCACCAACTGTTGTCACCTTCTCACCAAGCTGCTTGGCGATGGTCTTGTAGCCCATTCTAGCCTTGTGTAGGTCTACAATCTTGTCCCTGACATCCTTGGAGAGCTCTTTGGTCTTGGCCATGGTGGAGAGTTTGGAATCTGATTGATTGATTGCTTCTGTGGACAGGTGTCTTTTATACAGGTAACAAGCTGAGATTAGGAGCACTCCCTTTAAGAGTGTGCTCCTAATCTCAGCTCGTTACCTGTATAAAAGACACCTGGGAGCCAGAAATCTTTCTGATTGAGAGGGGGTCAAATACTTATTTCCCTCATTAAAATGCACATCAATTTATAACATTTATGACATGCGTTTTTCTGGATTTTTTTGTTGTTATTCTGTCTCTCACTGTTCAAATAAACCTACCATTAAAATTATAGACTGATCATTTCTTTGTCAGTGGGCAAACGTACAAAATCAGCACTGTTGTGAGTGACTGACAACGTAACGAAATCTAGCTATACCTTACCTATGCCGGTATCACGTCCCCCCTAATTTAGCCTACATGCACACAGTAGGATTTGGGAAAGAGGAAGTACTCCCATGCACACAGTAGGATTTGGGAAAGAGGAAGTACTCCCATGCACACAGTAGGATTTGGGAAAGAGGAAGTACTCCCATGCACACAGTAGGATTTGGGAAAGAGGAAGTACTCCCATGCACACAGTAGGATTTGGGAAAGAGGAAGTACTCCCATGCACGCAGTAGGATTTGGGAAAGAGGAAGTACTCCCATGCACACAGTAGGATTTGGGAAAGAGGAAGTACTCCCATGCACGCAGTAGGATTTGGGAAAGAGGAAGTACTCCCATGCACGCAGTAGGATTTGGGAAAGAGGAAGTACTCCCATGCACGCAGTAGGATTTGGGAAAGAGGAAGTACTCCCATGCACGCCAATATGCACGTGCATAAAAATGATTGTTTGAGTTGAACAAAATGGAATACAGCGTTGTGGCTACAGGTCAGAACGACCCAACGTCCTGTGGACAACATCTACAGACCTGCAGCACAATACTGGGAGCTTTGGGGGGTTCTGGAGCCTTTGTTCCTGGTTTTTCGGAGGATGAGGAAGTGATTTGCTGGTTGGGGTACATTTCTCAAAAACGTGAAATCACAAAAAAATAAGTGTCTGGACCCTTCTATAACATTCCATTTAAATACATTTTTTAGATTTGGTTGTAAAAAAGGAAACTTCTCCTTTTAAAGGCAGTGTTATTAAGAATGATGGAGGTGAAAAGTGGTTGTTAACGAAATATCTACGTCTCTCTCTCTCTCACCCCCCTACTACGCTTTTCCCCTCCCAGGATGTGAAGTTGAAGAACATGCGTTCTTGGGCCAGCTTGGGCCAGCGATCTCAGTCCACCCCCGCCTCCGCTGTTCGCTCGTCTAGCGACAGCTTCGAACTGTTCCGCCGCGCCGCCCGAGAGAAGGAGAGAGAGAAACAGCTAAAAGCACAGGCCGAGCAGGAGAAACTACGGTAAGAAGGGAAGAGAGCGATGGAGGGAGAGATGGAGAAGTAAGCTCATTCTAGCACCCCAGCTAAGCTCCTCCCCCTCTGACACGCCACTTCCTCTTCTCCAGTAGCCGTGACGACGAGGACTCTGTGGAGCAGCAGGGGAGGGGGCGTGTCCAGGAGGACTCTCGCCGTCGCCAGGAGCAACAGTCGCCTCAAGCCCCCACTCCCCCCGCCTCGACCCCACCGGCCGACTCCCCGCAGGCCCCTCCCACTCAACAGGCCACACCCCCGCCCTCGGCCGCAGCACAGAACGCCCTGGACCAACAGAGGGAGCTGGCAAGACGCCGCGAGCAGGAGAGGAGGAGGAGAGAGGCGGTAATACTTTATAGCAGTTATACTACTATAATACTAACATCATATACTAGTATAGCAGGAGAGGAGGAAGAGAGAGGTGGTAATACTTTATAGCAGTTATAATACTATAATACTAACATCATATACTAGTATAGCAGGAGAGGTTGTAATACTTTATAGCAGTTATACTACTATAATACTAACATGATATACTAGTATAGCAGGAGAGGTGGTAATACTTTATAGCAGTTATACTACTATAATACTAACATGATATACTAGTATAGCAGGAGAGGAGGAAGAGAGAGGTGGTAATACTTTATAGCAGTTATAATACTATAATACTAACATCATATACTAGTATAGCAGGAGAGGTTGTAATACTTTATAGCAGTTATACTACTATAATACTAACATGATATACTAGTATAGCAGGAGAGAGGCAGTAATACTTTATAGCATAACAGTGGGTACTTGGAGTGATCATGGCTCCTATATTTGGCCATATGGAGACTCATCTAGACCTGCAGACAAATGTTCTATTATAGTACATGTTTACTCCTGAAGAAAATATTCCAATGAAGTCCTGTATAGAGGTTGAAGGATGGTAAACTTTATAGCAGTTATTACTATAATATAATGATATACTAGTATAGCAGGAGAGAGCAGTAATACTTTATAGCAGTTATATTACTATAATATTAATATGATATACTAGTATAGCAGGAGAGGCAGTAATACTTTATAGCAGTTATATTACTATAATATTAATATGATATACTAGTATAGCAGGAGAGGGCAGTAATACTTTATAGCAGTTATATTACTATAATATTAATCATATGAAATTAACTAGCTATAGCAGGAGTAGAGTGCATTAGTGAAGGTACTTTATAGCAGTTATATTACTATAAACTAAATGAATACTAGTATAGCAGGAGAGAGGCAGTAATACTTTATAGCAGTTATATTACTATAATATTAATATGATATACTAGTATAGCAGGAGAGAGGCAGTAATACTTTATAGCAGTTATATTACTATAATATTAATATGATATACTAGATAGCAGGAGAGAGGCGGTAATACTTTATAGCAGTATATTACTATAATATTAATATGATATACTAGTATAGCAGGAAGCAGGGAGAGGTGGAATACTTTATAGCAGTTATATACTATAATATTAATAATATACTAGTATAGCAGGAGAGAGGTGGTAATACTTTATAGCAGTTATACTTACTATAATCTTAATATATACTAGTAGCAGGAGAGGTGAGCTGTAATACTTTATAGCAGTTATATCTACTAAATTATATGATATACTAGTATAGCAGGAGAGAGGTGGTAATACTTTATAGCAGTTATATTACTATAATATTAATATGATATACTAGTATAGCAGGAGAGAGGTGGTAATACTTTATAGCAGTTATATACTATAATACTAACATGATATACTAGTATAGCAGGAGAGAGGAGGAAGAGGTGGTAATACTTTATAGCAGTTATACTACTATAATACTAACATGATATACTAGTATAGCAGGAGAGAGGCAGTAATACTTTATAGCAGTTATATTACTATAATATTAATATGATATACTAGTATAGCAGGAGAGCAGGAGGAGAGAGGTGGTAATACTTTATAGCAGTTATAATACTATAATACTTTAATAATATACTAGTATAGCAGGAGAGAGGTGGTAATACTTTATAGCAGTTATACTACTATAATACTTCAATAATATACTAGTATAGCAGGAGAGGTGGTAATACTTTATAGCAGTTATATTACTATAATATTAATATGATATACTAGTATAGCAGGAGAGAGGTGGTAATACTTTATAGCAGTTATATTACTATAATATTAATATGATATACTAGTATAGCAGGAGAGAGGTGGTAATACTTTATAGCAGTTATACTACTATAATACTAACATGATATACTAGTATAGCAGGAGAGCAGGAGGAGAGAGGTGGTAATACTTTATAGCAGTTATACTACTATAATACTAACATAATATACTAGTATAGCAGGAGAGGTGGTAATACTTTATAGCAGTTATACTACTATAATACATGATATACTAGTATAGCAGGAGAGAGGCAGTAATACTTTATAGCAGTTATACTACTATAATATTAATATGATATACTAGTATAGCAGGAGAGCAGGAGGAGAAGGTGGGAATCATCATAAAGATACTTATTAATATATGTACACTACCGGTCAAAGGTTTTAGAACACCTACTCATTCAAGGGTTTTAGAACACCTACTCATTCAAGGGTTTTAGAACACCTACTCATTCAAGGGTTTTAGAACACCTACTCATTCAAGGGTTTTAGAACACCTACTCATTCAAGGGTTTTAGAACACCTACTCATTCAAGGGTTTTAGAACACCTACTCATTCAAGGGTTTTCCTGTATTTTTTACTGTCATCAAGGCAAAGGGTGGCTATCTGAAGATCAAAAAAATATGAAATTTTTTTGGTTACTACATGATTCCATATGTGTTATATCATAGTTTTGATGTCCTCACTATTATTCTACAATGTAGAAAACAGTAAAAATAAAGAAAAACCCTTGAATGAGCAGGTGTTCTAAAACCTTTGACTAGTAGTGTGCATACTTCAGTTATATTACAATAATACAGAGAAGGAAGTTTAGCTGAGAAAAATGGGAAAGATTTACACTGGATCTAATTCCCCCCCCAGATGGCGGACACCATTGACATCAACTTCCAGAGCGACCTGATGGCCATCTTTGAAGAGAATCTGTTCTGAGAAAGAATGCGATAGGAGGAGAGGGAGAGAAAGAGATAGGAACTCTACCTCCCACCATGTGTCTGGGATTCCTGCCCTCCCTCTCTCTGATTGGAGAAACCAGACCAGGATGTGAGCCTCCCTCTCTCTGATTAGAGAAACCAGACCAGGATGTGAGCCTCCCTCTCTCTGATTGGAGAAACCAGACCAGGATGTGAGCTCCAGAGACTTGAAGGAGACTGAGGTGAGGTGCAGTAATAAGGTGGAACCCCCCCCCCCCTAGCGGTGGGGACCGGGGAGTACAACTTCCACTTTTTGCAATTTCAGATGCGTTTTTTGTGTCGAACTGCCCATTTATCGTTGATGACTGGTAGTTGCAGTGGTCAATGGTGAAACCGGATACCCTATCGATAAACAGATTTTTGAACTCCTCTTCTATTCTGAAACGGAACCGAGGGAGGAGGGGAGTACCGAGAACTATTACCTGAAAATAAAGAACAAGAAAAAATAGGGTTTAATTTAAGAAACAAGAAGAAGAAGAATACCTTCTGTTCTTCTGACGTGAGAGAGCGAGAGGGGCGGGCGAACGAGAGGACGGACAGACTTCTTCCTCTTTGATTTATATTTCTCTTAATCTAGTCTTTGTTTCCCCCTGTTTTTTGATGTTGGGGAGGGAGAAGTGGGCTGTCTGTGTGTGTTTAGTTAGAGGTCAGAGGTTATCATGGCAGCATCCCAAAGGGTACCCTATTCGCTTTAAATAGTGCACTACTTTTGACCCGGGCCCATGGGGATCTGATCAAAGAGTAGTGCACTAAATAGGGAGTAGGGTGCCATTTGGGCCGTTTCCATGATAACCACGTTTCCCTTGAGATGGGTTCAGTTTCTCTCAGGACAGCAGGACGGACACCTCAGCCACACCCCAACACTCTAAAGACTCACCCTTCCTTCCTTCCTTCTCAAGCTCCTTGTTCATTGTGAGATAAAAAATCACTGACTTGACACAATTTGAAAAGTGTGAAAGCTTGAATATTCAGTCGCGTCTGATTCCTTGATTATTTCAAGGAGAGGGAGGGAGGGAGGGGAGGAGAGGGAGGAGGAGAGGGGGGGAGGGGAAAGAGGGGGAGGGGAAGAGAGGAGAGGGGGGGGAGGGGGAAGGGGGGAGGGGCAGAGAAGACGGGAGGGAGAGGGGATGGGAGGGAGGGGAGGAGTGAGAGGGGAGGGAGAGGACGGTAAGGGAGAGGAGGGGGGGGGGGGGAAGGAGAGGGAGAGAGGGGGGGGAGGGAGAGAGAGGAGGGAGGGAGGGAGGGAAGGAAGAGAGAGAGAGAGGAGGGGGAGAGGAGGTGGAGGGGGAAGGGAGGGAGGGACGAGAGGAGGGGGAGGAGGGAGAGAGAGGAGGGGAGGGGGAGGGGAGGAGAGAGAGGGGATGGGAGGAGAGAGGAGGGGAGGGAGGGAGGGAGAGAGGAGGGGAGGGAGGGAGGGAGAGAGGAGGGGAGGGAGGTGAAGAGAGGGAGGGAGGAGAGAGAGAGAGAGAGGATAGAGGGAGAGAGGAGGGGAGGGGAGGGAGAGGAGGGGAAGGAGGGAGGGAGAAAGCAAGAGCGAGAAGAAAGGAAAGGGAAGGATGCATTTTCAAAGTGTTGGAATGTGGCTCTTGCCTTACAGCTCTGACCTGTAAACTAACACACGCCACAGATTATACATATATATATAAATAGATGCATAAATATATATTATATACGATGAAAAGTCACAAAAAATAATTGGGTTATGTTGTTGGGAGGAGCACAGCTCATCTGCTTTGGGCTCAATTCCCTTTTTTGTTTTTTGTAGAATTGACAGTAAAAGAAAACATTTTTTTTATGATGCTATAAAACATAGTTTTTGTCTTGTTCATAACCTCCTTTCTCTCCCCCTCTTTGTCTCTGTCCTTCCTCAACTCTAAAACCAACAATCTTATTGAGTGATGAAAGTTTTTACACGTCTTCTTTTCACTCTGTAAAAAATATAGAGTTAGAATATTCAAGAGTTCAGTCACAGAACTTTAAAGGCCCCCGTTTTTATTTCAATATCAAATCATTTCTGGGTAACAATTTAAGTACCTTACCGTGATTGTTTTCAAATTAAAATGGCCAAAAAGGAACAAAAATAGCTTCTTAGCAAAGAGCAATTTCTCAATCAAGAATTTTGCTAGGACTGTCTGGGAGTGGTCTGAGTGGGGAGGGGATAACTGAAAACGTGCTGTTATTGGCAGAGAGGTTTGGAACTCTCTTTCTTATTGGTCTATCAACAAATTTACCGCATGGTGATGTCACCAGGCAGGCCAAAACTCCATCCCACCAAAACAGGCTGATATTTCAGGAGGCCTTTTCAAACTGCTCTTACACTAAAAGGCATTATCATAATTTACACTATTTCACAGTATTATTCCACCCTCATAGTGTGGAAATATATATAAAACACAGGAAAATCAGGTTTTTGACTGCACTGGGCTTTAACTACTTAACTTTGTTCTGCTGTTCCGTAGCTACATCCACCTGCTACTACACTTACATTTACATTTACGTCATTTAGCAGACGCTCTTATCCAGAGCGACTTACAACACTTCCTTTCTTTTCTTTACACTTCCTTTCTTTTCTTTAGCTTCTTACACATTTTCTTTTTTTATATTCACTTCCATCTTTTAATCTCTCTCTCCTGTCATCGTCATCATCATCATCTTCCTCTGCCGTCCGTATCATAGCTTTTATTTAGTTTTTATTCCCTTCCTGTTTTTTGTTAAATTTTTCTGCTTTGTTTTTAGTTTCCGTGGTAATAATCGGGGTTGTTGTCATGTGCCATAGCTCTAAGTGTTTTGGGGGCGTGGCCTGCGGTGTATACAGCTCTACATACACTATCTGTTCCTTTTATTATTTTTGGGATGTTTTTATTTAATTTTGCCCCCTTTTCATATTTAACGGTTGTTTGTTATGTTTCTTGTCATTTTTGTTTTGTTTTGAATAACCTGTTGGGATGTTGGTGAGTGAGGTGTTAAGGTTGATAGATACATTCTGTTCTGATTATGGAGTAAAACATCTCTCTTTTTTTTTTAAAGAAAAGTATTAAAATTATATAAAAAATGACACTGTGTTCTGTTTGGTTGGTTGGAGTCACTGGGTGGGACATGCGTGGGTCGACACTAAGAATTGCCTGTTACCTCTCTTAATTAATCTTTCCTCGATTCCTCGCATTCCTATTGGAGGAGAAGGTCTGAGGGGCGGGGACCTTGGACCTTCTCCTCCAATACTGTTGAGAAGGAGGTGTGGTCCTCTGTAGCTCAATTGGTAGAGCACGGCGCTTGTAACGCCAGGGTAGTGGATTCGATCCCCGGGACCACCCATACGTAAAAATGTATGCACACATGACTGTAAGTCGCTTTGGATAAAGGCGTCTGCTAAATGGCATATTATATTATAAGATGCGAGGAATCGAGGAAATGTGACTTGAGAGAGAGCCTCAAGGTTATCATGTCTATTCCCTTGAGAGAGCACTGCTTTTGTCCAGGGCCCATAGGGATTTGGTCAAAGGTAGTGCACTATATAGGGAATAGGGTGCCATTTGGGACGTATCCCAAATGGAAATGTGACTTGAGAGAGAACCTTCTAATGAGGTTCAGTATAATGGATATTCACCCTGCAGTTCCGGTGGTAACCAGAAGAGGGTGTGGTTGAAGTGTGGCTGCTGCTATCAGCTTCTCAGACGGAGAGAGGGAGGGGGGGGGAGCGAGGGGGGGGGGGGCGAGAGAGGGGGGAGGAGGTTTACTGTGACAGAGAGGATGTGTTTGCGTACGTGTGCATATACCTGACCTACCTGAGATTTATTGAATGTGTGTACGTACAGTGTAGTGTAAAGTATTGTGTAAATACTATGAGTGTGTGTTTGAAAGAGGGGGAGGGGGGACATTAGTCTGTCTCTGTCCTTCCTGTCTGAGTTATTCAATGTGTCTGTGCTATAAGCAGTGTTAGGGAGTAGTGAACCACAGGAGGTTGGTGGCACCTTAATTGGGGAGGACGGGCTCGTTGGAATGGCTGAAGCAGAATCAGTGGAATGGTATCAAATACGTCAAACACATGGCTTCCATTCCATTGACTCCATTCCAGCCATTATTATGAGCCGTCCTCCCCTCAGCAGCCTCCACTAAGTTCAACTAGTCATTTAACTACATTTTGCAGTAGCTTTGTGGTAGTTGAACTAAATTCAAATCTAGGTAGTGTTTTCAGTAGTTAATTCCTTTTTCTGTGTAGATAACTACTGGAACTACTTTCTGCCGTGTAGCTGTGTAGATAACGACTGGAACTACTTTCTGCCATGTAGCTGTGTAGAGAACGACTGGAACTACTTTCTGGCCATGTAGCTGTGTAGAGAACTACTGGAACTACTTTCTGCCATGTAGCTGTGTAGAGAACTACTGGAACTACTTTCTGCCATGTAGCTGTGTAGATAACTACTTTCTGCCATGTAGCTGTGTAGATAACGACTGGAACTACTTTCTGCCATGTAGCTGTGTAGAGAACGACTGGAACTACTTTCTGCCATGTAGCTGTGTAGATTACTACTGGAACTACTTTCTTCCATGTAGCTGAGTAGATAACTACAGGAACTACTTTCTGCCATGTAGCTGTGTAGAGAACTACTTGAACTACTTGCTGCCATGTAGCTGTGTAGAGAACTACTGGAACTACTTTCTGCCATGTAGCTGTGTAGATAACTACTTTCTGCCATGTAGCTGTGTAGATAACTACTGGAACTACTTTCTGCCATGTAGCTGTATAGATAACTACTGGAACTACTTTCTGCCATGTAGCTGTGTAGAGAACTACTGGAACTACTTTCTGCTGTGTAGATAACTACTGGAACTACTTTCTGCCATGTAGCTGTGTAGATAACTACTGGAACTACTTTCTGCTGTGTAGATAACTACTGGAACTACTTTCTGCCATGTAGCTGTATAGATGAACTACTGGAACAACTTTCTGCCATGTAGCTGTATAGATAACTACTGGAACTACTTTCTGCTGTGTAGATAACTACTGGAACTACTTTCTGCCATATAGCTGTATAGATAACTACTGGAACTACTTTCTGCCATGTAGCTGTATAGATGACTACTGGAACAACTTTCTGACATGTAGCTGTGTAGATGACTACTGGAACTACTTTCTGCTGTGTAGATAACGACTGGAACTACTTTTTGCCATGTAGCTGTGTAGATAACGACTGGAACTACTTTTTTGCCATGTAGCTGTGTAGATGACTACTGGTTTTGCAAAAAGAAAAAATGGGTGACGTAGGCAAGAA